TAGCGCAAGCTCTGTGATTGGTCGGCTTGGTATTGCTGACGAGTCTGGGCAGGACCGAGAGCCGCGTGAATGGTGCGAGCCTGATGGAGCGATTGTTTACAAGTGTGGAGTCCCGTGAAGGAGCTCCGGATGGAAAGTTTTGTGTTTACCTAATAGTTAAAGTTGTTGCACGTCCGCCGGTTCCTGCCTCAAAATGAGTGAGTTTGAGCCACTTGTACATCCCGGAAGTGTTCAGGAAAAGCAAATCAGCAGCGAAGACACTCAACACAGAGGAACATTTACACCTCACTGCCAACTGGCATTTCGGAAGTGTTAATGCAGACCAACAGAGACAGCGCGCAGAAGTATAAATGCACAGCTACGCGCATTGCTTGCGCCGTGGGTTACGCCGGTTACTTGACGCAGAAGTATAAACCAGGCTTTAGTGTGTGAGTGTGTGTGTGTGTGTGCATGTAAAGGTAACTTGGTAAACAGGTCAAAGTAGATACAAAAGGAACAATAACAGTCACTAAATGAAGCAAGTAATATATATATATATATATATATATATATATATATATATATATATATATATATATGTATATATATATGTATATATATCAGAGGTCGCGTTAACCGAATACTTTCTGTCATTGACAGATTTTTTTCAGCAGGGACAGAAAAATCTGAAGGTGATCCGTTAGCTATCTGTAATTCTCTTTGTCACCGCTGTGTACAGTTGCAAAAATCTCACAGCAGCTGAGTGTGAGAAGTTTCTTTAAACGGGCAAATAGTTGTGATAGTAATAATAAAGGTGAAAAAAAGGCCATGCAGTGAAGTGATGCAGTGGATGATGAAGAACAAACAGACAAAAATCCTCAGTCGCCTACAGCTGTTGTTACAGGCCAACCAAGCGGCAACAAGGAGGTCAGGTGGTTTGGAGTGCGTTGTGAGCACCATGCATACGGAATGCAGAGGGGTGAAGCCACGCCCCTAGTGCAGAAGGAGCGCGTGCTGCAGTATTTTTTCCCGGTGAAACGAGTGCTTGCAAGAGCGGGAAATGTCACATTAAGAAAATCCAGCAAACTTCTGATCACTTCTTTAGAAGAAATGTTTTCTAACTACATAACGCTGGTTGAAGTGGCACTACCCAGATAGCAGGTAGTAATTGGCCCGTCGGCTGCCCTTTGGCGCCTCCGGCTCCGACTCCGCATCGAGTGTTATCTGGGCCGAGTATGGCCTGCAGCTCGCTCCCGCACATGCATTTGTGATGCGGCTATAAAGCACTTGCCCGATTCTTGTTAACCATATCTGGCCAGAGTCTGACTGTAAAGTCCGGGCCGCTTCTGGCGAGGACCACTGTGGCAGCAGACCATTGCTTCAGCCTCCAGAACAAGTTTAAAACTGTCACGAGAAGTCGACTTTTCGAGGCAAAGACACAGAATTTAATGACAATTGCCTCTGCATCAGTCTCTCTTGATGCGTTTGATTACGCAAAGGCAAGCACCCAGTTCAGGTCAACGCAGGAGGAAGATGTATGAGGTATATATAATCAGATCAGTGATAAGGAGTGACAATAATGCTAGTGATATAATGCTAGTAATGACGACAACAAAGGACAACAGTAATAATCATTAGCTACAACCACTACAATAATAATTGGTTGGCATGGATCAGACCAGTGCAATGCCCAGGCTGCCATGGCCACACCACACTTAACCTGTGAGTCTACTCCTAAACCTAATCCTTTCTCTACACTGTAAAAAACAACAGGCTGATAGGCATGCAAGGTCAAAAAACACTTTCATGTCTTAAAATATGCATTAATTTTATCTAATTACTAATCATCCCAACGACTCCCATGCGATTCTTTATCGATTCATTTGTTAAAAACCCTTTCTTAGCACAATGCTAATCTGCGCTGGTTATTCCGATGACCCAGTTTATTGTGATTGGTCGACTGCGTTCAGTTTGAGGCAGAGGAAAATGCCCACCACAGTTTATCAATATTGTTGAAGTAGTCAAAGTGTATGTGTGAGCCCAATGCAGGAGTGCATTAAAGCAGTGCAGTTAACAGCATATTGCTCTATACTTCACCATGACACACATCCAGTAATCCACACAGTGGCATAAACTGAACTATTTTGAAACCTGACCACCACATGTGTGTAGGAACAGCTGACGGTGGCCATAGCAATGACAAACAGCAGTGGATCGCAAGCTCACAAACCCATTTAATTCTGTAAACAAATTGGCACACGCCACGTTTTTAGACGCAATATGATAATATAAAGAGTTAACCAAATACAGGTCAAGCAGTGAGGAGCGGTTTCAAGTATCAAAACACAATTAAATACATAATTTGCAAGCTAGAGAAAACAAGGAGTCAACCATTTTAATCGCACTTATTTTCTTACACTTGTGAAATGGAGGAAAAAACTCATCTATGAACTGTGTACTATAAACTTCCTGCCAAGCTCTGACAAAGTCCCATACATTAATAGTCTTTTCTGATCATTACTTTAACAAATGCCTTATGATTCCCCTTTTGCAAGTGTGTAGATTGTTGAAGCAAAAATGACAGGAACACAGCGCAAGGCTGGGGCTGTAATGCTGAGTTTTTTTTGTAAAAATAAACTTCATCCACTGACTCTTCACGGCCTCATCTTTGGGTAGAAAAAGTAAGACTAACTTTCCCTCACACTTTAGAGCATAGCATCTTCGCGACTTGATTAAACCTGGATCTGCTAGAGTGTTTGTCTTTTTTTCTTTCTACAGTATTTGTGGGTGGGGCAGGGGGTTTCAATTTTCCCGGGTCTGCATACGCAACAAACAGATGGGGCTTGAGTTCCATATCAACATAATGCTGACATGGCTAAAGACTCATTACCCCCACAATTCATTTGAACCACTCTAAGTCAAGTCTTTTATAGATAAATCAATAGTTTTAAACACAGTGAACTTTCAGATTTAAGCCTTAGCTGGATATTTCACTTCACTTAGAGCTGTGTTACACACTGCATGGAAGGTCATTTTTAAAAGCCCATACTATGGGCTCTTTAAGCCTAAAGCCTGGTTTATACTTCTGCTTCAAGTGCCTGGCGTAACCCACGGCGCATGCAATGCGTGTAGCTGTGCATTTATACTTCTGCACACTCTGTTGCGTCTCTGTTGGTCTGCATTAACACTTCCAAAACACTAGTTGGCAGTGAGGTGTTGATGTGTCTCTGTGTCAAGTTGCTTCGCCTGTGTTTTGTTCTTTCTGAACGATTCCAGGATGTACAAGTGGCTCAAACTCACTTATTTTGAGGCAGGAACCGGCAGATGTGCAACACCTTTAACTATGAGGTAAACATAAAACTCCTTCACAAAAAAAAAAAAAAAAAAAGACAATATTAAGGTTATAGGTCTTATTTAGGGTACTTTTTAATAATGAATACTGCACTGTGACATTTAAGCTAAATTTTAGCTAAATAGATTGTTGGATGGTCATGATAACCAAAAAAAAAGTTCATTTGAAAATTCACGGATTCAATATTGGTCGCTTTTGGTGCTTTACGCTTTTCATTTTTCTTTTTTGTTCCAAGATTTAGAATAAAAGTTACTTGTAAAATATTTTCCCTATTTAAAAACAATACAGTAGTAAAAAATGACCTCTCTTAAAAAGATTGGATGTTTTCTTGCACAGCTGGATGTTGGACTCATGAAAAATAATTGTGTGCAACTGGCCAAAACTGATTAGCTGAAGTCACAATGAAGCGACAGCTGTCAAAGGATTCCACTTGGTCTTCAGACATTTTTCGGTGGGTTATTTTTACTATTTATGATGGTATAGCATTCCAAATAGGACAAATGAGCTCATATATGAGACATATCCTGAGACCCCCCCTGGCTACAGGACTGTACAGACTGAGTCTGTACTGACAAGAAAAAAATAAATAAAAATGTGATGATAGCAGCATTTCCTGCTTGCATTTTGAGCACTGCTGAGTGGATTCTTGAGCTCTTTTTATTGGCTAATGTGTGCACACTCTCGTCAGATATGACTGTGATTGGCTCTAATAATCATCGGTTTACAAGAGCACTGACACGGAAGCATTTAAAAATCGCATCTATCAGCAGATCCACCGGCGGATTGACATGACATTCAAACACTGACAGTCATCATGACTTTAAAACACTCCAATGCCCAAGGTCTTTTCTGTACGTTTAAAGTAGGTATGTGTGTTTTTAAACATTGTACCTTTTTTTTTTTTTTTTTTGTCAGTCAGTATGGGCCACTGACAGATGACATTTACTTGCTCTCTTCTTTCTGCCCTGCCATGCTCCATCACACACACTCCCCTACCTTCCGCTCAAAGCTTTCCTTCGCCATTAAAGTTGCTTTTTTAATTCTGAGGCTGACTTAAACAAAAAGAGAGTAGGGTTTCATGACCCTTTAACACAGTTGTCACTAACCACCAGGCCGCGGACCGGTACCGGTCCATGGATCAATTTGTACTAGGCCACACAAGAAATGATTAATTATTTTAATTTTATATCTGAACGATCTTTTATTTTTAAAAATGACCATATGCTCTCGGTTATATATTGGCCTTGAGTGCTTAAATGTAACCCACAAGCAGCAAAATGAGTAAGAAACAGACGTCTTTGGGACGTTTATTTGCGAAGAAGAAAAGACACAGAGAAGGACCCACAAATCAGTGACAAATCGATCTCTCAGCTTCATATTTTATCTGAAATACACGGTAGACAATTTATCTTAGACAAGCACAGAACATTCATAAACAAAACCTGTATCAAACTTGTATCAAAACTTGTATCAGAGTTGTAACAATGTTTTGTCAGCTTGTCATATTCTGAGAAAACAGTTGATGGTCGCTTAGTTAAATTGTCAAGCGTTGACCAGTCCTCTGTGATAAAAAGGTTGGGGACCACTGCTTTAACATATACTGTATAAATGTCTCTGAAATCTGCTTGGATGATTGGGATGTTTTATTTTCATGCTGTAATTTGTAAAATTAGGTTCTGCAGTTGTGCTGTACAGTAAACAGCACTTGGAGGCGCTCAAGTGCAAAACTATCAATGCGAGTGCACATTGAAGAAGATGCCCAGAAGTGACATGAACTTGGAGCTGCTTATTGCTCTGGTATCCAAACGAAAAATGCTGTATGATAAACGAGACATCGACTACAAAAATGTTGACAAAAGGGAAATGTTGTGGAGAGGAATTGTGGAAGAATTAGGAGTCGATGGTGAGTTTCATTTGACTTTTATGGCTTGCACGTTGTCACAGCAAACTTTTTATCAGGTGTGTATCATTTGTGTACTGTAGCTGAGGAGGTTAAACAGAAGTGGAAAGCTTACGTGATACATACACACGAAAAAAGCGTGAAGAGGGAGATTGTCGAAGTGGACAGGCCGCTAAAAGCAAGAAGCCGTGGAAGTACATAAAGGCAATGAAGTTCCTCGCAGCATCCACAGAATTTCGAAGTTACTCGCATCAGACAATTAAATTACATATTGTTGTCCTATCAGATGTAAAAAAAATCTATAGTAATTTATTGTAACTACACCACCATAGTAAGGTAATTCAGTTAATCTGCTGTGATCAGTCTATAGTTTCTATTCACAATAAAAAAAATCTGAAAACTGCACTACCTTGTTCAACTGCACTTTAATCCCAAATGCATTAATTTAATAGAAAATTGCATAAAAAATTAAACTTTATATTGAATTTACTTTTTCAGAAATAATCATAACAATGTGGTGTTAATTTTACTGAAGATAACAAATCATATTGTTCTGCATGTGAGAGATGTTTGATGTAAACTGTATTTATCTTTTTATAGTGTTCACAGTAATATTGATGAAAACATGTTGAGCTGTATGACCAACTGGAGGTGCAAAATGATGCAAGTGAAAATGAGGCACCATGAAGCACATCATCAGCATCATCCATCACCAGCCCAACTGAGCCAACATAAAAAAAAAAAAAAAACATCTTCAGATACACCAGATTTCTTGGAGAGATACCTCTTGTTCAAAGACAACAGGGAACAAGAGAAAGTGGAGCGCAGAAAAGAGAAAGATGAGCGCAGAGCAACAAAATAATGAACATTCCATGTTTGCACTTAGTTTAATATCAACACTAAGGAGATTGTCCCCTGTCATTAATCATCAAATCATTAATGTTTATTTGCACTACTGTTCAATTTACCTATTGTGATTTTTTTGCACTACAACTTCTGACTCAATCATTACTTGCAGCAAAATGTAGTTTGTACAAAACCATAAATGTTTACATTTTACAAAAAAAAAAAAAAAAAAAGTGCATAAATGACGTACTTGCAGTGATGACATATTTTGGAAAATTTTTGCATCTTTGAATTTTTACACAATACTTTATTATTTTGCAAAATTCACAGAGAAATGATTAGTACAAAAAGACAAAAATAATTTACATAAATCCATAAATACATACATCTATCTTTACACACACACACACACACACACACACACACACACACACACACACACACACACACACACACACACACACAAGTGGTTTTCAAAGGTCTCCATATAATGAGTCTAGCACATATACGGTTTTATTTTATCTGATCTGCAGACCATGGTTCGCACGGTCATACTGTCAGGGAACTTGTCCTGCTGGGGAATTGAAGTAGTCTTTGTAAATGTCTCTAACATTTTTTGCCTCCACAGATGACCTCTGTCCCCTGCAATGTTCAAACCCTTGTAGCGTTTGCTCACAGTCATAGCCATCCTCTGTGGCATCATCCTGGTTATTAGCATTTGGGCGTAAATAATTGCACAGGATACAAGCCGCTTTGACAACTTTGTCAACAACAGCTGGTTGGACCTGTAAACTTTTTCTAAAACCCTGAAACGTTGGCTGAGAATTCCAAATGCATTGTCAGAGACGTCCTGCTCTCGAGACAAACGATAATTGAAAATTTTTTTGTCTGTGGAGAGGTGACGTCCAGGGTATGGCCGGTTTAGATAAGGCTTCAGCCGGAAAAGCTTTATCTGCCATGAAGACATAGTTTACTTTTTCCAGCTCAGGTACATCTGGAAGTTCACTTGGTGGTGGAACATTCAAAGTTCCATCTCACAGTGCCTTTTCTAGCACAGAATTGGCAAAGATGCCTCCATCGCTGTTGCTTCCATAACCCCCTACATCAACCACCAGGAAGCGTTACTATGCATTAACCAAGGCTAGTAATACAATTGAGAAACTGCCTTTATAATTAAAAAAGACAAAACCAGAGTTTGAAAGGGCCTGGATGGATATGTGTTTTCCATCCATCGCTCCCAAGCAATTGTGGAATTTCAATCTATCGTAGAACTTCTTGGCTGTGCTCCTTCACATCTCTTCAGTAGGAACTGTCATATGTTCGTCTTTGAGGCAATGCCGAATGGAATCACAGGTCTTACGAACTATCAGAGCTAGAGTTGACATACCAATCTGAAAACTGGATGCAATTGTGTGGTACGAGTCCCCAGTACTTAGAAAACTGAAATAGATAAATACTAGGTTTTAGATCTACATATACAGCACTTCATTTATTTTTAAAATTTTCATTTGTGAAAAACAGTATATATACACATTACTAACTCACCATAAACACACGGCCAAACGCTGCTCATGGTCGATCGGTTTAAGGAAGTGTGTGTGTTCTTTTGTCAGTAGAGTGTAAAAAAGTCAATTTTTAAACTCGCAGACGGACATTCTGAAATACCATCAAAAACTTGTGATACATTTTTAGCTCTTGCATCAATCTATGAAACTCCCGTGTTCTTTTCTTTTAGACACTATTGGATGTATCCAATACCGTCTTTTCCGTGATTTTATCTCATGTAATGTAATCATCATTTCCTTATTGCTAGAGCTAGAGCTACCACTTGAACCATCCATGGTTGTTTGTTTGAATAGTTATTGACTTTGACAACAAGCGTGTCAACTTTCTCTCTTCTTCTACAGTGTTTCAAGCGGGTGTCAGAAGGTTACATTTGTGTAGTGCCACCCTGTGCACTAAGGTCTTTCTGTTTTTCCTAAAGCACCATATAGCGGCATCTCGCATATCTCAGCATTCACGCCCCAAGGACCCTTAATAAACCGAAACTGCTTAAACTTTATTCCAACGCTACTTCAGACTCCCACCCGTCACTCAGCCCTCGTACAAGACCCAACACCAGGAAAACCAGCGCTAGACACACCCCTTACCCTCAACCAGAAAAAAGGAAACCCATGCAAATACCTACATGTTTGTTCTTTCTACGGCACACACAAAACTAATTTGCCCGATCTTTAGATCAAGTAATAAAAAATATAAAAACTACCTGTCAACTGAAGTGAATATTCCTCATCTCACTTCTGAGTTAAATGATCACCCTGATACTAACTTCTCTGATTTTCTCATTTTAGGTTTAACTCATGTATTCCACCCAGGTGTTTCAGCCTCTCCTTCATACAACCTCTGCTGTCCTAGTCTTCTATCTGCAAACGCCGAACCCGAAACCGTAGATCAGCTTATCAAAAAAGAAACTAATAACGACTTTATGATCAGGCCTTTCACAACCCTGCCGTTTGACAAATATCGCATTAGTCCTATAGGCGTGACAACCCGAAAATTTTCTAGCAAAAAAACAGCTCATAATCGATCTCTCTGCGCCACATCACTCTATTTTTCCCAGCATTAATAGCACTATCCCACTAGACGAATACTCGCTCCACTACCACGGCATAGACCAAGACATATGCCTTAAGAAAACCGCCGGCCGCAATGCCTGGCTAGCTAAAGTTGACATTATATCTGCTTTAAAGTCATGCCAATCCACACAGACTTCTGGCATCTGTTTAGCTTTTGTTGGCTCTCAAAATTCTACTTTGCAGTCCCGTTAACTTTCGGCTGCAAAAGTAGCCCTAAAATTTTCGACAAGCTCTCAGAAGCCGTATGTTGGATACTTTCCAATAATTACGGAATTCCTTACCTCATATACCTGTTAGATGACTTCCTCATCATCTCTCCTTTGTCGTCACCTCCAAACAAACATTTAGTGATCACCCAAAAAGTTTTCGCTGACCTCGGAATTCCTCTAGCAAATATATATATATATATATATATATATATATATAATATATCAGGCAATAATATATGCAATTATACAGCCGCAAAGCCTTAGCAGGGTCACACATTGCTTCCATACTAACCAACATTTAATTACAGTACATAGTAGCAGTAACAATGCTCTAGAAGCTCTACTGAGCTATTCTCACCCATTGCACTACTACATCAACATTGTAGTTAAGCCGAGCTCATACCCACATTACTATCGCTTGGAACCTACGTTTCTGCGAGAGTTTACACAACTCTCTATTCTGTTGATTTTCACTCAATCATCGCACCACTGCAGCAACAGTGTCAGTCTAGCTGAGTTCCTATCCACTTCCATCATAACATTTCTGTAAGAGCACACATAATGCTTCAGACACCTTTGCACCTCTACAGCTGCAGAGTCACTTTGCCGAGCCTCAGTCCCCCTCTGCAACACATCTACAAGAGTAACGCTCCGCTTGGGTTCACATACACTTCCATTTATTCATTTACTACTGACTCACTTCCCAGCACTGCCACAGCAGTTAATAGTCTCTCCAGAGGCGTACTTTCCTTCAAATACTGACTTCCATTGCACCTCTGGAGTCGCAGAGATGCTCCCCTGAGCTTCATTCCCCTCTACACCATTGCCGCAGCAGTGACTCTGCTGAGCTCATATACATTTCACTACTGATACACTCCCCAGCACTGCCAAAGCAGTTAAAACAACTTTGCGGAGGCGCACTTCCCCTTCAATATTGAATTCTATTGCACCTCTTTAGCAGCAGAGACACTCCGCTGAGCTTCATCCCCCTCTGCACCACTGCTGCAGGAGTGACGCTCTGCCTGAGCTCATGTTCACTATCATTCATACATACCACTACTGACACACCCCAGCACTGCCAAAGAAGTTAAAACGCTTCTGCAGAAGCATATTTTTTACCTTTTACTATTAACGCTCTGCCTGAGTCTTATATCCACATCCATTTTTTTTTATACTGACACACTAATCAGTTCTGCCACAGTAGTTAAAACACCTCTGTGAACACATAGTTACTCTTCAATAATTTCATGATACTGACTCTCACCACATGTCTGCAGCAGCAAAGACACTCTGAAGAACTTTATAGCTACATTTCACCACTGCCATAGTAAGCCTCTCTTACAGTACTCACACATACCTGCTTCAAATCATTACATTTATCTCACTCTTTTGCTCGGTCCTTGCAATTAACACTGCCCCGGTAACACACAGTCTCGTTCATATACCATTAGCAATCCAGTAGCAATGACCACTCTTATCTCACCATTTACACCACACTGGTTCTTTTTGCTTCTTCAAGCTTTCAAGCCCTCTTTAACACTTCATACCAAGCAGCCATGTATTGTATTGATTTTCATTGCCTTTTAGGGGGTTCTTCATATATGCGGCCGCTGGCCCAAGCAAAAGCATTTTTGGGAGTTGTCGAGATCTACCTGAGCTCAAAGCTCCCCTCTTGCCCTGCAAACGGGAGGGAGGCCAGGGCT